ATTACTTACTACTTACTACTTACTACTTACTACTTACTACTTACTACTTACTACTTACTACTTTCTACTTGCTACTTGCTACTTACTACGTACTACGTACTACTTACTACTTACTACTCATTACTTACTACTTACTACTTGCTACTTACTACTTACTACGTACTACTTACTACGTACTACTTACTACGTACTACCTCCTACTTCCTACTTCCTACTTCCTACTTCCTACTTCCTACTTCCTACTTCCTACTTCCTACTTCCTGCGTACTACTTACTGCCTGCTACTTACTGACTACGTACTACTTACTACTTGCTACTTGCTAGTTGCTACTTGCTACTTGCTGCTTCCTGCTTCCTACTTTCTACCAACTACTAGGACAACGGGTCCTGGGTTGCCGTGGACGTTCTTTGAAGGGGAATGTGCGTTTTACTCGGGTTTTCACACGATTCTTGAAAGAAACAGTCTTCAAAATGTACCAATAAACTACTTGACTTTCTTTCTTTTTGCTGCTTGGTTCTTACTGTTACATCGTGTTTCGGTTTCTGAAATAGACTGTGTTAACCCGGAGCCTAGTCCCTTAGTATGTTTTACAAAGAGGCGAAAACGCTGTAAATACCAGTGTTCTCATGGACGCTTGTGACAGCTTTTCTTTTTCCACATCCTTGAGCAGTATGTTGTACAACGAAGCGAAAACACAGTAAATACCAGTGTTTTGGGCATCGTCGCAATTGGCATGGACGCTTGTGATAACGTGTCCTGCTCCTTGCGCAGAATATTGTACAAGAGGCGAAAACGCGGTAAATACCAGTGTTTTGTGCATGGACGCAATATGAATGACGTTCTTATCCCCCCCTCCCCCCAAAGCCGAACAAAGGAAAAGTGCAGGAAACACCGGAAAGATGCAGGAAACACTGCGGCAAACCCAGGGCACGTGGCCCAACCACTCACCACCACTACCACTACCACGACAACGACTACTTCTACGACTACTACTATGACAACGACTACGACTACGACTACGCTACTATCTACTAACTACTAACTACTAACTACTAGCTACTAACTACTAACTACTAACTACGAACTACTAACTACTAACTACTAGCTACTAACTACTAACTACTAACTTCTAACTACCAACCACGAACTATTAACTACTAACTACTAACTACTAATTACTAACTACTGTTTACTAACTACTGAACGACTACTGACTACTGACTACTGACTACTGACTACTGACTACTGACTACTGACTACTGACTACTGACTACTGACTACTGGGTACTGGGTACTGGGTACTGGGTACTGGCTACTACTTACTACTGGCTACTGGCTACTGGCCACTGGCTACTGGCTACTGGCTACTGACCTCGAGCCATGCCCCCTCCCGACAGAACAACAGACATGCACCTTTTCCTTCCCTTACCTGCTTTGGCCGTGGCTGGCTATGGGCGACAGCCCCGTTGCAACCATGATGCAATGGCTGGAAAAATCCCTCGCCCCTGCCTACTCCAGTGTGCCCACCTTGGATGGACATGATTTTGTTCCAAAATCCACAGGCTGTAGATAAAGCGCAAGCTTGGAGCAAGGCTCACCCACGACACAATCGACGGGATGGTCTTTCCGACAGCCCTGGGACAGAAGCAGTGCAAGCAGCGCTCAATTGCACTATAAGCTGAGGCTTCCCAGAGGCAACACATATTCAAACATCATACATGGTTTGGCACCATGTAATGATGGCAGCGCAGGGAAGTTGAAGTTGATGTAGCTGCTCAAGGACAGCCGAATATGAAGCAAATCAAAATGAATCAGTAAACAGCGCGCAAGGCAATGAATCTGGCGGTGAGCAGCCGAGTTCCAATTTAAGTACTGACCCTGGACACATGGAACCAGTATGTTGTACGTCTTGCTGTGCGCGCTACAGAAGCACCTTGGCCGGTGGACCAACACAGGTTGAGCACATCCAGTTCACGCGACAAACAACTCTCAACATCTCCCAAATCCAACCAGCGGAGACCCGATGGGTCATCGACAAGTTGAAACTGACATTATTCGCAAAAAGTGCAAAGACAACTATTTCACAGCTACTTTCGCAAACTTTCGCGGGGCCCAATAACGTTTATCGAATCTCAGCATGTTACACACATGCCATGCTTTGTAAAGCGCTGGGGTTCGCGTTTACGGTTTCGGAATAAGCGGCTTGTTGGCTGGTCGCTTCTTGCCACGGCTCATCTGTGCAGGCTGCTCTCAGGTATGTATGCCATCCGCCAACCACTGGACGAATACTGCCTGTATGTGCATGGCCTCACGAACAAGACGACATGAATTGCCCACGGTCGACCCGTTCTGGTTGCTCCTAACTTTCCTCGGAGCTGCCAGAGACTGCAAGGCGATCTTTCATTTCGGCCAACAAATGTCAACAACTTTGCGAACGAACAGAGAAGGATGCACGAAAGCTTGGAACATAAATCTGCATACATGGCCCAAAAAGATAGATGAACGAAGAGGCGACCGTGAACACTGTGAACACCATTGAAAGCGGCTATCAGACATCAAGACCAGTGGTGGTCACGTGAAAACAGCGAAGACACACAGGAAAGACCGTGGCCATAGATTCAAAGGTCAGTCTGAGAGCCCACGGAAACCAATTGCAGCTACGTTCACTCTCTCCAAGCTCCAATGTTGGAGCCTTCGCTCGATTCTGAATGTAACCTTTAACCAGGACACAAGTGATTTAGAAGACTTCAGGACCATGCCAAGCCTGCCGTCGCTTGGTTTTACTGCTTTTATGGTGGCGTGCCACAAAACGGACTATGAGTGAAGACTAGTGAGACAATTCAGCGAAACAGAATAGTGCAGGAGACAGGCATGAACGCATGCTCTTCACACTTTGTTCGCTAACGGTTATTGTCGGAGCGAAGTCCTTCGGGCAAGCAGCAGCATTGGTCTGGCGGTCAGCGATTCTGAACGCATTTCACACGGAGACGTCCGCAGCATGTCGTTTCCGATTTGAAGGCTGTCATTTCCAGCACCTGCTGCAGTATCACCGACATCCCAACAGTTTAAAGTTGTTTACAATTGAAAGAACAAGTCGGGCCATGATGGTCTGTTTCCGGGGCCCCAAAAACCACCTACCCACCCAACTTTCTGAGGATCAGGAACTTGATGTAAGAGGCTTGCCCGAAGGCACACACCCTCTACGCGGCGCTTTCACGTCACGGAGACCCAAGAAATGGGCTGATGAGCATGCGCCAGGAACACTTTGAGTCCTGAGCCTCGTGATCTTAGAGACACGAGCGCCAAGATTAAAAGACATCGTCACCAAGCATCCATGTATTGCTTCAGCACATCACGCGATTCCTTGTATTGCTTCTATGGCCTTGTCTTGCTAGATCAATGCAGAGTCTTTGCACAACGGAATAAACAAGCCGGGCTGACAGCTGGGCGATGATGTCCAAACTTTGGGTTGCACGGGCGCAACCTGAGTCTACAAGTGTTCAACACATGCGCAGATGCGCAAGCTCTTCGATTTGCTTCGATTTTGCAAGCCGTCGATGCTTAGCTTCAAGGCTCCTTCGCTGCACCATTGCACCAACTGCCATGTCCCAAACCATAGTGTTTCACCTGAGAAGCAGTTCTCAGCGTGCATTGCCTTGCCAAGCTATGCCTTTGAACGTTAAAAAAGAACGAAATAAAAAAAAACACACGCACTGAGTAAGAACCGCGCCGACCGAGAGCGTTCTTGCATTCCTTCGTTCTGCGCTGAAGGTTGCTGAAGCTTTGACGGCATGACACGACTGTTGCTCCTAGTGTGCCTGAACTCAAAGAGGGCCGGCGACGATGCAGGACGTCTTGCTGCAAAATGACTGTTTGCTTTCTTGTCTGGTATGAAATCGCTTGCCCCCCGGTGGGCAGGTCGATCGTTTCACCCGGTCATTGCTTGGATTGCCTCTCCGCTCCGTGGAACCTCAAGAACAGTTCCTGTGCCAACACATGGTCATAGACAAGTGGGATGCGACGGTGTACGCCGAAGTGGATTGGAACCCGGAAGGCGAGCAAGATCACTCGCGACCGTGTTATGCACAGCCGTGATCTATAGCCATGGACAGAGCACGCAGCATGGACAAAAATGGAATTGGATCGGCCCCATTCATGTGACAAGTGCACATGTTTTCGCTGCTGCTCCTCACGTGACTTTCTTTGCACAAACCTTGCTTTGGAACCAACATTTGTTTTAAGGTGCTCATCCCAGCGTTGCCACCGCGAGGTGACGCGTACGTCCTGCCGGGATGATGGCATCACATATGGGTTGCTGCATGTCTACATGTGCCGGAATCAGCACAACTACAAGTGGCAAACTCAGGGGTCTGCTGCGAAACCTTTTTGTTTGTCGTTGAAGTTGGTATACGAAGCATTCTCGGTAGGGTTGGGCATGGAAACCCAGCACGACAAGTCAACGCGAATAATCACAAAATCGCCGGGGAGCCTTAAAACCAACACTTCACGGTCTCATAATTGCGGGGGTGATACCTGCTAAGTACTGCGGGCACTGTGCACGTCAATGACTCCTTTCCTGTGGGTTCGAGGCCTTTCGTGTCTGTTCGATGGAGTCGGTAATAGAAAGAGTTGATGTCTCATGTCTCCAATGTCTCCGAGCTTGGAACCATCGCAATGGTCGCTGCATGGACCCCAGGCGCTCCATCTGAGCCACCCAAATACGTGCCAGAGGTGGTGCACGTGGTGCCAGAAAGGATATAGTCATCTGAGCTCCAGACAGTCCGAAGACGCAGTCCCTGTCTGGAACCTATGAAATCCAACGCAATCCAAGACAAGCCGAAGAGCGTGTGCGTACATTGTCCAAGGGCTGGACACATGCGGCAGAGACTTCGCAGATACGTGTTTCCGTGCTCAGGCCGGGGGGGAACTGGCCTCAGCTCAATCGTTCCTCTGTCGTTCTTGTCTGAGCCGTGTTCTGGATTTAGCCGCAACAAGAAGGCTATCTCGGGCTTGCACCGCATTCACTTGCAGACTTGGCCACGTGTCGCCTTTTGCATAAATCCAGAATCTGGACGAATCTACAGCAAAATACAGCCAAATACAAGCAGCAGAAGTCGAACTCATCCAACACAGGTTGCCACGTTCGGAAGGTTGTTCCTCTGTTGCAGGAGACCGAGCAAGGTGACCAGTCCTTGCCAGCGTCTCTGCTTGACATTCTGTTCAATGTGTTTTCAGAACGTCTACATGTAAGGCTCAGCACCATGGTAGCACGATCGTGAATGCCAGGTCCAGGCATCATGCCACAAGCTTGCAGTAATTTTGGGGCTTGTACGACTCTTATCTACTGCCTGGATCCCAATAGGGCTCCTTGTACTTCACTGCACCATTGATACCGCAAGTAAGCGATGCCAGAGAATCTGGAACGATTCGGTGCTCGGCACCGGGCCGACCAGTGACTCCAGAGTCCATCTGTGCATTCTGGTGCATTGCACCTAACATGCGGGGCTATGGCTATGGAAACGAGCCACATCACTTGGGAAGCGGCGTGTGAGTGTTGCAGGGCTGGATTGTCTCTTTGATCTCCGCATCACATTGCCTTTGCGGATCTGAGGCCAACAACCGGACTTGCGCGTCTTGCATTCGTGAAAAAAGCGGACCTCCCATGCTTCGTAGGAACCTGAGCCGCGGAGCGTCAACATGGTGCAACTCGCTACTGGACACAAGCACTGCCTCCGGACCCTTTCAACTAAACACGACTTCCAACATTGAAGCACCACGCCCATTCAACGGTGAGCATTTATCTATGCTTGTGCGGGCTTTGTGCCTGAGTGATGTTGCTACGGCACCAAATATCCCAGAAGCCTAGTGCATCTTCATCGGCAAGAGCGCAACGCGCTGAAGAAAGCGCAAGCGAGCGCGCAAGCGCTCGTGCGCCTGTGCGCGCACGTCGTAGGCAGTGCCCAATAAATGCGCATTCACACTGTGCTGGTCCCATCTCTACAATGGGCTAAACAATGCTAAGCTTAGGGTTAACGCCCATTTTGGGCCTGCACCAGGCCTGCTGAGGATCGGGCTTTTACGGAGGCTTGATTCTGGCTTTGGCTTTAGGGGTTTGGGCCTGGGCCTAACACTCTCTAGGGCCTCTAGGACAGCCCTCTACGGCCTCTAGGGCCTCCGAGACCTTACGGGCCTTGAGGTTTAAGGGCTACCTTGGGCTTTACCGGTTCAAGAGTTGCTGGGCCTGGGCTTGGTCGCCGCCATGACCCGCTTAAAAATGAAGGCCAAATGCGAAACTCACCACCTAAACGCAATGTTTCTAGAACAAAAGATCTGAATTCCCAGAAGCAAACACAATCAGATCCTCAGTGCTGCACTTTAAGGACATGTCGCTTCCGAGACCGAATGCCCCCATCCTTGGTAGGTCGGGGGAAGCTGATCTCCCGTTCACCTGACTTTTCTCATTCTTGGAAGGCGACACAAGAACGCGAGCAGTAGCTCCACGCAGCCCACTCACCCCAGACCTTGCGCAGCTTCCATCGAAGCAGCTTCTCCAGCTTCTACAACGTTCTGTAACCGGAGGAGACTGAGCTTGCGCACGCAATCTCTCTCCTCACATTCCACTTGGTTGGAACACGCCTGCAGTTTGTAGCTTCGACCAGACACACGCAAGCACAGCGATGATGATGATGATGATGATGAGAATGCCACCTGAACCTCCCCTAGTGGTTCATAACAGCCGTGTCCATCAATACCGCGTAGATCAAGAATCTGTCGGCCTCAGGAAAGAAATAGTGGAGTCAAGAACTTTCACGAGGGCATCAAAACAGCACTTTCAACACAGACCTCGAACTGCTGCATGACATGATTCGGGTATCTAGTCTCGCCTCCGAAAATACTAAGCTGCAAGCGACGTGTACGCTGCCCGACTCCGCATGTCGTGGAGCAGAACCCCCAGGACTCCCATTCTGTCCAGGGCTTGGCCAGCACAGAATGATGAAGAACAAAACTTGGCTAAGAGCAACTGCAACCTTGGTCTACTGCACACGCCACATCAAGCCACGCAACTGTAGCAAAAAGCCACAAACCAAGGCCAATGAAAGCGGGCACAAACTGCGGGAAAGTGCTCGGGCTTTGGTTTGTGACCCATCAATGTGGGCCTCGTGATTGGGCGTGAACTTGCAGCCAGCACACAAAACACTTCTGCAAGCAGCGCTTGCTTTTATCTCGACCCGAGCTATCTCGACGGTCTCGGCCCTGTGGGATAAAGCTTTTGAGTTCTTGGCAATAGAACGAACCAACGGTCGAACGGTACAGGCAAGAACCAAGTCAAGAAAGATATCTCCGGAGGCAGGGGCCTGAAACCCGGCAGTCGTGTCCACTGCAAGACTGGCTGTTGCAGCCTGGCGCATAAAGCAACTTTGTCTTGTAGCTTAACTTACGTATCAGACTCTGTAAGACCCTTACTTATGGAACGTAATGGCATATCAAAACTGCAAATGCCAACTGGTCGGTGCATGCAGCGCAAGATTGCACCAACAAGCTTGACTAGACAGCGCACCCCAAACCCCATTCTTGGCAGATGCGCACATGCACGTGTCGAACTCAACACCTGTTGAGTGACTTAGTCGTGACTGAATGTGGGTAGCGTAGCAAAGTCTAGAGCTGAGCCCCGCACCTTTGGTCTCTATCAGTATGCTCGGGCCTGGGGAGACAACACGTTGCTGGCGCCGCATGGGGCACATTCAAGGATACATGAGGCCCTGAGAAGGCTTGAATCTCCGTTTCCGTCGGAAGTCATCGGAATTCCATGAAACTGCCGGCGCCAATGTAGTTCAGAGAATCTCGAGCCCTGCACAGCCTTCTGCCAAACACAGCATGAGTTTCGTCACTTCATTGAGACGAGGCGTGAAGCCTTTCTGAAAAGCACGCGTGTGCACACAAACATGTACATTCGCTTCGGCTTCCTGCCGAGAAGCGTCTGACCCGGGTCTCCTTCCCCCCTGGCCCTAACTCAAAGAGAGTTTCTGACGTGGGGGGTTACCCCCCCCTCTCCCTGGCCGATCGCTTGGAGCAAACCAATGCCGTGGAGGAGCTCAAAAAGCACCATCGTCCCCACCCCCCCCTCCCCACCCAACAAGCCACGGATACTCCTGACCCAAACCTTGAAACCTCGAAACCTTGCACCCAGTGCTGGCGAAGCCTAAGTACAATCTGTACAATCAAAAATGCTTTCAGAGGTGACTGTAACATTTCACATCCATGTCGAGCGCTGGAACCACTGCTCGCCCACCTTTTTGAGACCTCTGAGCCGACTCTGGCCGAACGTTTTGCCCTCGAGCGCGCGAGATGCCGTTGGAGGGTCTTTGCCAGCTTCTTGCTACATTTGCTACTGGCAGACTTCGAACTGACTTAGAACTGACTTAGAACTGGCAGATGCTCAACGATTGTGCAGATATGCGTGGAAGTCATACCGCCCTCGTGGGTGCGTGCACATGAGGCTGCATTGACACACAATGTTCACTGCCAGAGCGTCTGGCGCATGTTTGTTCAGAAGTGGCGCCAGTTGCTGCGCGACGGGTCTAGGGTTTCGGTATTAAGGGTTGGGGGTCGAAGGCTTAGTTGAGGCGTCTAAGGTTCGAAGCGAAGCCAAGACATGAAGCAACGGCACAGCCATGCTAGGAAGGCGACTCGTGGTATGTATTGAGTGCCAGGGCTAGCGGGTCGTGAAGCAGCTGAGCCAGTTGAGACTGCAACTTGCTATGGCAGCTTCCCTCAACAGTGTCACCCGGCGACGTTGAGCAGGTAGATGTTAGGTGAGATCGTCGAACAAGCATTAAGACATGTTTAGCCAGTCGGCTTAGGGTCGCTCAGCATCTAAGACTGCGTATCACACACATTGACAGGGGCAAGCTGAGAAGCTGGCAGTCAGCCCCACCACCTGACGGCATTTTTGGAGCTATGTTTTCTGCATCCGGGCCACGCGAGATGCCCGGTGATGTTTGAGGCAGCCTGCCTGATGGATAGCGGTGGACCTGACGGCGACAGGCAGCGACCAAATGAGTCAAAGGAGTTATAGTCACAAAGCCTCCCGATGGCGGTGCGTTTGCCCACCGTCACAGGATCTGTCGCAAGCATCCTGCCAAGAGGCACCGGGCACATGTAGCTTCCTGTTTTGACATGGTGCCCATCCTGCAAAGTCATAAAATGCCAGCCTTTGCGAGGTCAGGGAGTATTTTGAAAAGATGGGGTGTTGGACATCCAAATCGCCTACGGCCCCGAAGTGATGTAAAGTTGAAGAGCGAACCCACAATAATAATAGAACGAAGCGCTTCGCATAGGCCGTCAAAAGAGCAGCCTCCCATCAACCAGGTCTATGCCTATGCTGGAACTGCATCCCCTGCAAAACTATGAAAACCGTGACATGGTGCGGGACTTTTTCTGAACAAAATGGTCACTTCCTGACCCAAGCAAACTCAGATGCCCCAGCACCTGCTGAGGCAGAAGATAGGATAGCACCCTCCCTAAAGATGAGGGAGTGCGGGCTGCCGACGAAAGCGTGCTCATGCGAGCTGATGTTGGGGGTTCGTCTCTGGAGAGCCCCCAAAAATATTGGAGAGGCGGTCTGAGAGACAGACTCACTGATCACTGAGTCACCGAGTCGGGGCTGGGGCTCGGGGTCTGTGAGGAAAGGTTGGGTGCAGAGCTTCAAAAAAACGTCCAAAACACCTTTGTATTTCTGTCCCCTCTTAGATGGCGCACCCAGCCGGACCACGGCGACACGTCGCAGTCGACCCTCTCACTGTCGCACCTGAAGGACTTGGAGCATAGCACATGCACAAAGCTTCTTTCTTACATTGCCACCAAGTCAAGTCCTCAGGCTTGCACGATGCAGTTTCCAAGAGCGGCCCCGTACAAGCTTCTCCAAACACCTGACCCGGACAAAATGTGCCACGTCAAGGCTCTGCAGGTGCCAAACCCTGTAACCTTTAGAAGATTGTAGTGGCATCTAAGTGAACCAGGAAGTGGGAGCTTAGACAAGTGAAGGCATTCAATCCTGATGCAGCTGTTCTGGCTGTTTGGCCACAATGTTTGGGCTCGGGCCGATGGTAGTCTCGCGATCGTGCGCTTTCGGGACATTTGCCCATCAAAGCCACAATGAGACCATTGCTCCCATGACCTGGACCACATTGAACCGGTAACTGCGGTAACTGCAAGGGGCGACGACGAACGGAGATGGCCACAGAGTCTTCTGCAAAGGATCCAGCCCCCACTTGCAATCCTCCTTGCCAGATGCTCTGCACGTTTCATCAGCCTCGATACTCATGGCATGCCATGCAGTGAGATTCACGACAACTGCGACTGAGTGGAAATTGTGGACATGCATGCATGTAGCGCTTGCAACTACAGAACTTCCAAGGACGCGTCTCCCGGACAGGGCTGTATCTCGAGGAGTGGGCCAGCCTCGGGCCACCAAGATTGACAGAAACAAGGTCAAGTGAACGGCGCTAGACGGCGCACAATGGGCTCTAGCAGGCCGAAGAATCGGAAATGGAGGGGTAGTCTGCATCAACATGACAGGCACTCAGAGGAACAGAATAACCAACAGAACATGCAAAACTGATTTTATCTTTCACTTGCAGGTGGGTCTGCCCTTTCTTGCCTATTTTCCTTCTTGGATATTGAAATTGCCGGCATCTTGGGAAAGATGCCTGGAACAATTGATCGGAACGAACTTTCCTACGACAGAGGACGAACATTAAGCATGTCACGAGCTGTGCCGCCAGTTGAATACGGATTTTCCGTTAACCATGTCTGCATCAACATCTGCCGAATGTCACAAACAAGATGCTGCTTGCCCTGCCTGAGCCACTTGCTCCACTTGGGCATGGGAAAGTCGCCAAGTCGGGCAAGTGGCACATGTCGGCAACTGTACTGCCGCCAATGGGGCAACTGGGCAGAGTCAAATACATTTGCTCTTTCCGGACGACCAGCTGGGGCAAGTGGGGCAAATTCAATGAATGGTTCCGGCTGCGCCCGCGATGCCATGTTCTGTATCTGCACATTTGCTGCAGTATAAGACTTACCCGTGACAGATGAGCCTGTCTGTGATTCCAGAAGTGGCCAATGACTCGGGAAGGCCAAAGCTTCATCCCATATTGTGTTCTGCTAAACAGATTTGCATGTCAAGGCCACCGCGTTACTGAGCGTAAATGTTTAAGGCTTGGGTAGCAGGCAAATGGTTGTGACAAGGACATCCACGTACGCTTACAGCCTATTGGATGAGAGATGCTGTTGTAGTCAAACCAATGCACTGAATCAGAAAATTCTGCTACGGTGGTTCGGCACAGATTCTCGATGTTTGGCAATGCAAAACCAGTGAGCACCGGCAAATCTGGCAAACACACTACTTCCACTGGATGAACCAGAACCAGATGCACGGACGGCGTCACCCCCCGAAGGTACTTGAGGCAGGTCACGCGTTGAGGTCTAAATCCTGCAGCTTTCGACCGAAATCTCTCGAAGGTTTCGAACGACGGTAAGAACGACGCGCTTTTGTCGTAGAAATTTTGTCATTCCCACACATTGGCGGCCTTGTCATTTTCCAGCAAGCTTAAACCCTGCTGTGCAATATGGCTGTGCAGACACGATCTGATGTGCCGAATCAGACCTGAGCCTTGCACACATTGCTCACCGCCATGCTTGGCATGTCGATCAACCTGAGCTTTTGGCGATCGCTACGCAACAATTCTAAGAATCCTTGCGGCGGGGATGGTCCAAACTTCTGCGAGCCACCACACGTTCTCGAGTGTGCCATCCAGTCACGCATCCTCATACCGGCAGGTGACAGCGGGAAGGTCTGCAACTTTGCAAAAGCATCGATGTTGGCAAGGACTCGGCGGGTACTGCACGTCGACCAGCTACTCCAAGGTCCCAGAATGCAGTTTTGCGGAATCTGAGCACATCGAATATCATCGAATCGAGAGGATCACAGTTCTCCCGGAATTCAGATTTCAAAGAAGCGGCGCCTGCGGGCATGGTTTGGTTTGCATCATTTCCCCCGAGCACGGCCTTGGCTAATTGATGTGATCGTAAGCTAGAAGATGCCACAGGGTATTGCCACTGCTCTCCTGAGACACCAGCGTGCCACCATTCATCGGCATCTTCACAATGTCTCTGCTGCGGTCCATTTGCAGACTGGGCAGAGTTTTTTTACTATGCCGGTATAAGAATGCACAAGCAACGTCTGACCTCACAACACCAGCCATCGTTGATGCGCACCTCGTTTCACAACAGATCTGAGATGACGAAGTCTTAATTCCAGCAGATCTTAACAGGCTAGAGGCCACTTAGGCGATCGACCCTTCCCATTCAGACCATTCGCCGAAGATGCAATCCTGTTCGAGTTGTGTTGGCATGGGGCACAGCGCCTGCACGAAAGCATTGAACACAAAAGTCTGCATCAGAGGCCTGCTCTTGCTGGCAAACCACAGGGCAGGTCTTTGTCTCGAGCGTGGGGCCTCCATGTCGACAAATGTCAAAATGTGTCAACGCCAAGGGCCGAATTTGCAGAAAGTCCCACCCTCGCATCCCTCGCCGCAGTTATTGTTGTGCTGTCTGATGACACGATGTCGCTCACACAAGCCTGTCACGAAGCGGTTGAACCATGGATGTCGATGCACTGTGGAAGACGAACACTGTGGCGGAATCATGTCAGCTGTGCCCAAACATGTCGGATCGTGCCACTCACTCCACGCTGCGAATATGCAGTTCTGTGGAACACACCTTGGTGCACGAAAATGCGGCAGTATGAATGCTCAATGACTTGGGCTCTAGTCTAGCACCAGCAAGAACCAGCTCAACTAAAGTAGCTGAAGGCTGTGAGCAGCGCGTCTGGCACTCCTCTTTGATCGGACAAGCGCTCACGTTGAGCTGCGTCCCGGCCTGACCATGACTGCGAAATCCATCGAGACAAGCGAGACACCGAGAGGATGAGCAGGGGCAAAGGCGCACGACGCTTCGTCTGATGCCATGAAGAGGAAATCGCTGGAGTAGGAAGTCAAGCCGAGGGCCTTGAATTCACGCCCCACAAGACAAAGCCCAAGCCCTAGCCCAAACACTGGGTCTGCTACTCTGTTGCGAGTCATGCTGGTGGCACCACACTTGTCACAGGACTCCGACCTGAGAGAGAGAGAGAGAGACACAGAACACTAAAGACCGCAGTGCAAGGCGACCGTCTCTGTGACAGTTCTCGCACATCACTCTACAAGAGTATTCGACAGAGTGCTGTACTCCTTCTCCTTCTTTCTCTTTCTCTTTCTCGTTCTCTTCCTCTTCCTCTTCCTCTTCCTCTTCCTCCTCCTCCTCCTCCTCCTCCTCCTCCTCCTCCTCCTCCTCCTCCTCCTCCTCCTCCTCCTCCTCCTTCTCCTTCTCCTTCTCCTTCTCCTTCTCTTTCTCTTTCTCTCTCTGACTTTCACTTCCCGGGCCATCTGGCGTTGACCAGTATGTCCAAGCACAAAACACAGGAGCTTCCTTGGGCAGAGAGGGCGACTCTGCGCAGAGAAGGGACACATAACGGATGCCAATTTCTTGAACGTACCAGAATGCAGCAGAATGCGGCAGTGCGGCACATTTGCTGTGACATGCTCCGGCTTCCTTGGCATCCGCTGGCTCGCATGGCCTGGGCCGAGCATGCTCAACAGCAGTCATCTGGATCTGGATCACTGCTCAAGCCTTCCACAATGATTTGGCATCTGCTGAATGTTGCGGAAGCGAAACCTGCATATTGCGATTTCGTGCTGTAGAATCACCGAAACATGCGTGGATGGTACTTTGATCTAGCCGCTCGCAAAGGCCTCTGCCCGCCACATTTGGAGCAACTGCCCCAGTGGCTCCATGCCTGGACTTCATGTTATCTTAGCCCAGCCTCTTATGACCTGACATGGGCGTTGCATGGCTTTGACATGCTTTGACTTTAGATGGCCTTAGCATGCCTTAGGTTCCTGGGCATCCTGCTCCCCAAGTGCAGTCGTGGCAGCCGGATTCTGGACAAGGCTCCCTGCACAGCACCAGCATGAACAAAAAGTAAAGTGACTTGTTTCAGCATTGCTTTGTTCAAGACCTCGCTAGGAACCAGGCACGCCGCATCGATCAATTTCTGCGAGATCAGCGTTGCAAGGACTCGGAAGGTCACAAGGCACATGATCTGTATGCACGTGTGAAGAAAAATGCGGCAATCTCTGACCTGTCACTCGGTCACCTACCTTCCACCAAACGCGGACGACAACACGATGTGACGAGAGCGTTCTGTTTGCCCTCCTCCACAGCTTGCCTGCTAAGGGAGAACAAATCTCAGTACCTCCAAACCTTCTGGATTGCTCTTTGACTGCTCTTTGCAACCTATTGCAACTCCTGGCAACATAAGACATGGCAGGACACGGTGCACTCGCTCCACTCCTCCCAATCAGACATGACCTCAGTGCGGCAGCTGGCATGCAGACGGTATATGCGCATCCCCAATGTGGAGATGCAGATGCGGGATGGAGGGGAGAGGGAAACCTTTCCTTTGAAAGAAGTCGCATCCAAGACCCCTCTTGCCTCTGGAGCCTCTGCCCGTCAGTCAAACACCCGGTCACCACACCTTGCCCTCTCTTTCCATCTCTCCATCTCCCTTCTCTCTTCATCTCTCAATCTCTCTCCATCTGTTGTGATGCGTTTGCATTGGAAGCTGGGCTGCCCCAACAAAATGGCAATCTGCCAACGTTTGGTGTCATGGTGGACGTTCACATCTTTGTGAGACGACTTGTGACACAAGTTTAGCCTACTCCAGTGCTTCCGGCTTACTTTAAGGCACTCGTACTCTCACAACATAGAAAGCCTTGAGGCGCCATGTGGTATGTGGCACCTGTCTGCCCACGTTGCTGCAAGCCTTGACTACTCTCGCTTCGGCTTTGGCTTGGCCTCTACTAGTGAAAGCACGCAAAGCGACTTGGTTAACGGTCTTGGCTCTCGTCATGGCACACTACTTACTTCCACCTTAGCGGGACCTCCTGTTGAAGACGGTCGGGCGACTACCAGGATCAGGGTTTTGGAGAAAACGAGCAAATAACACTCCAAGACCGCTTCAAAAGTACTGAGCCACAGGAGCTGCGGACGCCCTGCGCCTGCAGGATCGGAAAACGTCAGGGCTCGACTGAAAAAGGAAAGATTTTGAAATACGGCTGCGGATGGTTCAGGACGGAGCCGGCCCTGAGGCTCAACTAGGAACCGAGCGCAATCTTGCCTCCGTCGGTTGGCGCCGCATTGGTCAGAGGGCTCCTTGGCGTCACAACATGAAGGTTGATATAACCACACGTGCTGACAAGCAGCTGATATTCCCTGATTCCTTCCGACTTCATGGATGAGATTGTGCACTTTTTGCTGCCGTAGCTCGTGCCCAACACCAGGATTGCAGGGAACGACTTCCTTGACCGTGCCATTGCAGGACCTTGGGGTCTCATGACTAAGCTCGAAAAGACAGGTTCCTGCGGCATGACTGTCACGTTACTTAAACCTGGGCCTGAGACTCTCCGCCCTGGGTGGCAAATCGTTCAATGACTCGATTTCTTTCCCGAATGCCGAAGCAGCTGCAACTGCAGTGCGACCTGTCAAAAAAATCTGAGCTGCAAAGCTGCTCTCGGACACACAGACAGATGTCTCCCGTAACAATGCAGTGGCACACCACTGATTCCATGCGCCCATGACGCAGTCTTGAACGACGTTGCACTCCGGCATGTCAATGCACGCCTCTGGCTCAGGCAAACTTTGCCACGTGGCATCACGTGGCACGTTTTTGGAAATGCTTAGGTGCACGCCTTGTACTCTTCACGGAGGCCCACTGCCGGCTTCCCACAATGACTGGGCTGCACCTCCAAGAAACTGTGATTTCACAATACAAACCGTACCAAGATGTTCCAAGGCCCAGGCTGCTACGTCACGACGTCTGGATTTGTAAGCAGTTCCGCAGGTTGCAGAACCTACCGCGCGCATGTCCATGCATGCACTGCCACATGGTCCCGCCGCCATTCCAACTCCACTGCACCAAGTTGGGCACAGTCAGTCCAACCGCTCCACTGACCCCAAGCACCTTGCACATCAAGGCGGTCACAATGCTGACATTTCCAAGCTTCTGTGGCGACAGTGTGCAAAGGTTTCAAGGGCGCAGCCATCCAAGCAAGCAGCGTCGCAGGACTCTGTGTTGCAGGGCCTCAGTCCATTTGCACTTCAGCCGCAGACCTTCACTCTATCAAACCACAGATATCTGCAGATCAGCCGGTGGCGCGATCTGGCTCTTGTCTTTGGGTAAGCACAACCTACAAAAAAATTGCCAGACAGCAAAACGACACAAACTGATTGAAAAAACATGCAGAATGTCTGATAGGAGCCACAAACCCGAATGCAGACCCGCGTCCGCGTCACATACTCCACTAACGTGCGCATGTGTTCTGTCAGTGTTCTTTCTCTCTGAAAAAACCTTTACCTGCCTGTGCGTTTTCCTTGAGAGCGGGGGACTCGGTGGCTGCCCACTCTTCTCGAGCGCACTGCCACGGGCAAAATCTGGAGTGTTGGGACCTCCGCGGGATCCTTCAGAGGCATGTTGTCTCCAAAGGGGCCCCTATTCTTCGACTTCTTCGACGGACAAAGTGGCCTTAAGGCTTTCAGCTCATCTCCCTATAGCATTGCCTACCCACTCTCTTCATCTCTCTTCCATCCTCTTCTGGATTCTTCTGGCCTTCCACCATGCTGCGGCGCCACTGCAACATTCCTCTCTCGACCTTAGCTGACTGTTTGTTCTGAATCAGTACACGCCTTCCTACATCTGCAACAGAACGCTAGCTGAAAGAAGCTGCTTGCACTGCACAGCCCTCGTGCACCTTTGATGGGAGCTGGCAACGAGTCGGAAGTAGCAGTGGACCAAACACGTGTGACGTTATTACGGAGCCGTTCGTTGCAATACAAGGTCCCACAATGGTCGCATCAACATTGTAGCCGAGGTAGACCAACGTCGTGACCGGGCCTAACCCTCATAGCCATGACACGAGACACCTATGGAGTGGGCCTCACTCGTTCTGGTTGCGGCATCTCACCACAGATGGCATCTCGGATCTCATCTCACAGATGGCATCTAAGGGCCTGGCGCTTCGTCCCTCCATCGCAGGACGCGGAGCATACTGACCAGTCCCACCACTCCTTGAACGGCCATTTGCCATGTACTGGATCCCTCTCTGCGCATCGTGCACAAAGCTTGTTCTGTCCAAACACCAAACACTCAACCGCTATCTAATGATCCAATGCTTGCTTGCTTTTCTTCCCCGCCAAGTTTTCGGTTCTGAGTCTGCTTCGGGCACAGAAGCGTTTTCTGGCACAATTCTTGCTTGATGCTGTGCTCTCTTAGCCCGGCACACTCCACTGGCAGTCCACGACCTGCACACACTGCATGCACTGTTTGGTCGGCCGATTAATTCCTTCAACAACACGAGCACAACCTAGCACACCAAATGAGATCCAAATAACCTCTCACAACAGCCTCGCAGGTCTGCATTTCACATTCCCGCAATTCCTGGGTGGCTCCTTCACCTGCAAATTCCGATATCCAAGGAAATCGAAGGCAGAACATGGAATGCAGGCTAAGATTGGTGCAGCCACGCCCATCGCTTGTTGCAAACACGGCCACCTGCAAAGGTGAGAAGGAGTCTTGCGGCTTCCAAGTGAGCGACCCAAGGAACGTATGCAAATCACAGGTGCAGTAGCTCTTTGCGGCTTCTGACCATAGCTGTCGCGCTTGCGATCTTAATCTCTGTAGAGTGCATCTGCGGCCAACAGACCCAGCCCAGCCCCTCACAAGGTCCTAGCGTGCGAAGACAAAAATGTCGAGAACAGCTGAGGGGCACCACCGTTACAGTAGGGCATGAATTTCTGCCACAATGACATACTTTGCTGCCGCGTTTTGACATGTGTGCTCACGTGTTGCAACGTAGACGAACGAGGAGCGAGTCGAAAGTCAGATGGAGATGTCTCGACAGACTAGGAATCTTGCAGCAGCAGCAGCAGCAGCAGCAGCCGCGGCGGCAGCAGCAGCAGCAGCAGCAGCAGCAGGAACCTCTGGTAGAAGCCGTAGTGTTGGCAAGCTTGGCGGCCGACGGGAATTTGTTCTTCGAAGGCCTAGGACCACCCAGCACCTGTGAATGTTACATAACTTTGTGGTTTAGCGCAGCACCCTTTCGCTACGCACCGGAGCGAGGTGCTTGTTCCGAGCCGTGATTCGGATGGCTTCATCTTTCTTCATTTGGTTCTGGCATGTCCAGCACAAGAAGGCAAACAGCAATGACGTTACGGCAGCTGGTACCTGTCAAGAGAGCAGTCGAGAGTTCACAAGTCTGCTCATGGGGCAGCCTGCCAACTGCATGCTAGCAGCTGCTAGCAGCATGCAGAACTTATGTGAACCTATCGGAAGCTTCCTACCTTACATCAGACAGAATTCAAAAAATAAAAAAAACAAAAAACAAAACATGCTCAGCGATCTGATCAAATGTCTCGGGCCTTTCTCTTCCGCTCACGAGTGCCCTTTCCACAAGGTGCATCGCAGGCAGACCTCGTCATAACGCGCTTCGTTGAGGCTCAAAAATATTTGCACTTGTGCTCACTAGTCGAAGAGTCCGAAGCGTCTAAGACCAGAGCCATTGTCCCCAATGCTCAAAGATGCAATCATTGGGCGCCGGAGGTCGGCATGCATCCATCCTTTCCCATCTGCGGATGACACAGTGCGGCTAAAGCGGCTGAACATTGAAAGCTGGAACATTCAAGTACCCCGACCCGCAGGGCTCTGCTTGTGCAAGGACCTTATGAGCAAGGTGCACAGGATGAGTCTCAAAGATCCAGGAGTGGAAAAGGAAAAAAGAAAGCTGGCTCCGGGCAGCATCGTGGCAGAATCCACCCTCCGTGTTCGGCTTCAACTCAGGAACATGCGCACGATTGCACCGCACGAGCGCAGTGAGTGCCGTGAATTCTGCGCAAAGCAGTGCAGCAATCGATCTGTTTCGTACAGCTGGTCGCAGCGACTGTAGCTCTAAGGACAGGACAAGACGTCTCTCGCGGGACCTCTGCCCACCATCGCAGGTCCTCGGAAATAATCAGTTGTTGATGGTGGCATATTGTGCCACTGTGCGTTCTCAGAATTTTCACTTTGCAAACGATGTGTAAACGATTTCATAAACAGGCGTTGGGATGCTGGCTTCGAGCAGTCGCTCCATTGCCTCGGCGTAGCTAAGTTGTCTTGCTCGAAGTTGCACGTGTCATCTCACCCTGTCAGACCCTATCTCCCACAATTCGTGACTTTCCCAACTAAGATGTCCGATTGCACCTTCGGGAGACAACCTTCCCAGGCATCATGATGTCATGCCCTGTATCAGGGCATGGACAAGAATCACTCACTGCAGTCACTGGGTCCGCTATTACATTCTCTAAGACTTTAAGATGGCTTCAGATGGCTTCAGATGGCTTCAGATGGCTTTAGATGGCTTGAGGCTCCGCAGCAGCTGAGGACCGCAACGACCACAATCCGATGTCACAGTCCTGTCCAGCTGTACTGGGCCTTGGAGGTGACTCATGAGACGAGAACAAGGATGAAAAAACTTGCCGCAACTTGTACAACGGAAGAGGCCGAGGACCGTTCGCAAAGCAAGGTACAGTCCTAGGCAGTTCAAATCGGCAGGCACTGGCTCCAGTCAACCCTGAACATCCCTGAACAGCACATTCTTCCACCCTTCAGCAGGAGTCTGAGAGCTGCTGGGTTCAAAGGGGTTCCTCTTTCCATGCAAAAGCTTCACAGAGCAATGATGTTTTACCACTTGCTGGGGCCCGGGCTGAATCAGGTACTTGTCACAGGCTCCTCAGAAACGAGCTGAAGTCGCAAAACAAAGCCTTTTGTGTGGCCTTGCGCAGGCACGACTCGGCACGACTGCCGGGAAGCTTGGCAGCGGACGTCCACCGTTGCTGGGAACTGTTTCAATATTCCGTCTTCGAAACCGCTGAGGGTGCACGGCCTGCAAAGCACTTGAGACCGAGGCGACGAAAGCTAGCAGAAGCGAAGTCTTTTTTTGTCGCGGGAGGCTGCCTTACCGGTTTTGTGGGAATACAGAAACTTTGATGATTACACGGGCTCCTATATATATATATATACATAATATATATATATATATATGTGTCGCTGCAGCTTTACGATATCTCTATTGCTGCGGCACGCTCGAACTTGGGCCAATTTTGACTGAAGAGCTTGCCCACGGAACCCCCTTTTTTGTAGGGTGATCGCCACGGACTTACCCCTGTTAGAGTCCAGCGTTGCCAGGGGGACGTTCAAGGATTCATCCCTAATAGAGGCCTGGTGTTGCCATGGAGTGGTTTCTGTTGAAGACTGCATGGGTGAAGTAAACATGACAACCACAAATGCGCAGCCATGCTAACACCTGCACTGCCTGCACCACGAAAGCGAAAAAGGGCGCAGGGGTGGGGGGTGACGGTGCCCCTCCTCAATTTAAGTCGGGCCGCTGAATTGAAAACATCAATAATTTGGGGGGAGGGGCTGGCAAGCCATTGGACTGTTGGCCCAAGAAGAAAAGTGATAAACAAGAACGATCGCTCAAAGGAGCTTTCGCAAAAAAAAACATGACTTCCTCAAGCAAGCTGACGATTCTTCTGAGATCGGCACATCACACTCTGACCACGATGACCAATCGCTGAGCCTGGACAGGCCAAACTGACCAAGCCCCTAAAGTTCCCAACGATGGCAGGGTCGGCCCTGGCATGACAAAAGAGGGTGTTTGACAGCGCCTGCAATCAGTTGGCAAGCATGGACCATTGTTGCAAGCTCCATTCTCCAGCGATGCCCCGGAGCACGGGAGGCCACCTCACACAGAACTTCACAGAACTGGCACGGTGTGGCACAGGTCCTGGCCAGAACAACACTGCGCATCACCTATGCCTAACCGGCCTGGATCCGACCTCCGGTCAAGCCGCCTCATCCTGCCAAGCAGCGCACGCATTCAACGCACTGAGCAACTTGTAACTTGATTGCTCCGAATTGTCTTTTTAAGCTGAAAACTCAGGTATGCCTCTCGAAACGACCACTCCCGCAGGAAACGCTGCACCTCGGTCAGTTCCCAGCTCCGCAAGCTTGAACTATCTTCAACTATCACTAAATGAGCATTCCCTGGTTGCAGATGGCTGCCGGTTCTGAAGCTCCAACCGGCCCCATGAGCCCCATTGCGACCACTGGCAGCTTAGCGGGGCTTTTCCCGTGCATGCCTCCACGCTGCGCCGAGCTGCAAGAAAATCAAGAAACACAAAGAAAAAACGAACATGCTGTAACATGCTTGTGGCCTTGGTTTCTGCCAGAGGACCATAGCACGGATACCTGGGCGCATGGATATCTTGCCCGGAAGCAGAACGCACCGCATGCTCTCCTATGTTGCACCTCGCATGATTGAACAATTGGTTCTAACAGACGCGATGGGGTGTGGGGGTGTTGTTTTTTTTTTTTTTTTTTTTGGGGGGGGGGGGGGGGTCGAAAATCACAATCTTGCAATTGTCACACGCAGCAACTGACAGACAAAATCTCAATGTTGTGAGACAGATTCTTCAACAAAAGAGAAGTCACGCACAGTGTGTCTGTGCGTGTGTGTCGATCGGTCGGTGTTTGTGTGTGTGTGTGTGTGTCGGTCGGTCGGTGCTTGTTGGTGTGTGTGTGTGTGTGTGTCGGTCGGTCGGTCGGTCGGTGGGTCGGTCGGTGTGTCGGTCGGTGTGTCGGTCGGTGTGTCGGTCGGTGTGTCGGTCGGTGTGTCGGTCGGTGTGTCGGTCGGTCGGTCGGTCGGTGTTTGTTTGTTTGTTTGTTTGTTTGTTAACCTGTTTGTTTGTTTGCTTGCTTGCTTGTTGTGTGTGTGTGTGTGTTGGTCGGTGTGTCTGTGTATGTCTGTGTGTGTGTGTCTCGGAGTCAGTTTGCGTGTGTGTGTGTTTGTGTGTGTGTGTGTGTGTAGAGTGTGTGTGTGTGTGTGCGCGCGTGTGTGCGCGTGTAGAGTGTGTGTGTGTGTGTGTGTGCGCGCGTGTGTGCGCGTGTGTGTCGGTGTGTGTGTGTGTGTGTGTGTGTGTGTGTAGTGTGTGTAGTAGGTGTAGTGTGTGTAGTGTGTGTAGTGTGTGTAGTGTGTGTAGTGTGTGTGTGTGTAGTGTGTGTGTAGTGCGTGTAGTGCGTGTAGTGCGTGTGGTGTGTGTAGTGTGTGTGTGTGTGTAGTGTGTGTAGTGTGTGTAGTGTGTGTAGTGTTGTGTAGTGTGTGTGTAGTGTGTGTAGTGTGTGTGTGGTGTGTGTGGTGTGTGTGTAGTGTGTGTAGTGTGTGTAGTTTGTGTAGTGTGTGTAGTGTGTGTAGTGTGTGTAGTGTGTGTAGTGTGTGTAGTGTGTGTAGTGTGTGTAGTGTGTGTAGTGTGTGTAGTGCGTGTAGTGTGTGTAGGGTGTAGTGTGTGTACTATGTGTAGTGTGTGTAGTGTG